CTGGTCTACGTAGACATGTTTTAGTGATTATAATCAAATTATTTTTATTAAAGAAACTGCGAAAATCTCGTACTAATAGAGAAGATCAGATGTTACAAGATGCATGAATTGGAATGAAAATGAAATACGGATATCATAATCATACTCAATTTGTTAGCATTATTTCTCACTTCTCTTTGTGATTCACATAAAAGAAATTTGAATGCTATAAAATACAAGGGCATAAAGCGTCTATAGGTGACTTTTTATGTCAATCGTCAAATCCCAGGGTCAATCTGGACAGGAAGTGAAAACTACCAAGCTGGAGTATGGTAGAGGCAGAGAGAATATTCGGTGGAGTAAAATGCGTAGAGATCGGAAAGAATCTAACGGCGAAAGTATTTTGCTGGGCCGACACTGACATTGAAAACGATTTGGGGGATATTGGTAACAATTAGCGAGTTGGAGGGCTCAAAATCAAATTAAAATTTTAGAGGGCAAGTATAACAAGATAATTTTAGAACTTCAGAGTAAACAAATATATGTTGTGAAAAAGCAATTAAATAGTTAATGTCTTGTTCTTATCCTTATTTATTGGGCTTTAGCCCATGTAAACTTTTGGGTAAAAGATAGACAGAGGCCCAAAAATGCCCAAATGTTACCAACCCAGATTTTAGCCCAGCAAAAATGAGGTGATGTATCCAAAAAAACCCAAATATTCTGCATGAGTGCTCTTTTCTTTCATTAAACCAACCACACAAATCAAGAGTCCGTATCTCTCTCTTCTTCTTCTTTTTTTTCGGTCAAACGATAAATTTGTTAGATTAATTATTGAGCCGACGTCATCATACAAGGATTCAACTCATTTATACCACTCTGGTAACGAGCCACTTATCTTTTTCTCTCTTGAACGATTAAAATTGGAAATATTTTTTTTTTCTTCAGTAAATTAGAGGAAAATAAGGGGATAACTATAAAGAAAACAAAAGGACATAAATGTTTTATTCCACAAGGTGATTCGCTATACGCTGGTTGAGAACGGGGCATACCCTACTACTCATAAAGCTTAGAACATACTTAATTTAACCTCAACATAAGCTGTGATAATAAATTACTCACCCAAATAAATATAAGGAAAACTAATGAAAATAGTTTGAAAACTTTAAGTTTTAACGATAAGGACAAAATAAATGATAAAGTGAATAGTATCAGGATTAACTTTTTAGTGTAAAAATATGATTTTTCGTTAAAGTAAATAATACCACAAGTTTTTCATTAAAACCCCAATAAATATAACCCTAACCCATGAGATCGGTGTAGCCTTTTGCCTAATCTCTTTCCCAATACCAGAAAGTGATAGATTCTCTTGAGATAAGACCTCAATCTTAACATAACACTTGGCCTGTGAATAGAAAAGGAGGACAAAAGTTACTGATTTAGGATGAGGATCCTTTCTCCTGATCCTCTTTGTGAGGATCGTAGAGATCCTCATATCATGGTCGTTCATCGTATATCACGCGATTAGTTTTCATTAGATAGTATTTGTGTTTAATTTTAAATAAACAAATTTAAAATGATTTATGACTGCAAGATGTACGATAAACGTTTAGGATGTAAAGATTCCCACACTTGGATTTGGATGGGATCCATCTCCATTGATTTATTAATTTAGTAAACACCACTAGGATCCTCTCCAGATCCTCTTCTAGAGGATTTCGGGATTCATAAATCGTGTCCGTTCATCATACATCGTACGATCAGTTTTCATCAGTTACTATTTTTGTTCAATATTAAATAAAATAATTTAAATAATTTCTGATCTCACGATATATGATGAACGAAAACGATTCACGAATTCCTGAGATCCTCATAAAGTAGATCCGGAAAGGATCTGGATTTTTAGTAAACATACTCATGTTTTGGTTACATGGTGGCAATGCCAATTGAAAAAGAAAACTACAAAATAATATTAGACCAAAAATGTTCTTCTTACTTTCTATGTGTACCATTGTTTGTTCCCTTTTTTTAATATAGATGAGATCTACATATGTTAGTGTGCTTTACCTCTATTAGAGAGATGATACAAATAGAAAATAAGTGTAATACTACTCATATTACACCGCAGCCTTGCCGACCTTGTTAGAACTTAACAATAAACAAGTAGAGGTTCACCCCATATCAGCAGTCATGCATGTTACTTAATTTTTTGATAGGTATTCAAACTCTCTGATTTTTTTCAATGGTAATTATAGAGTGATTTCCTAGCGTGCTTAAAAAATTCAATGACCAAGATCTAACGACTAATCGAAAATTTCAATAAACAGGACACATCGAAAAATTATAAACTTTTCAATAAATGAGGTTTGTGTGGGTCTTTTCAACACCAACAGGATCCTCTCAGGATCATTTTGATGAGGATTCCGGAGAAGATTCAAGAGATCCGTCAATTGTGTCTGTTCATTGTACATCATGCGGTCAGTTTTTGTCAAGTACTGTTTGCATTTAATTTTAAATAAAAATTTTTAAAATAATTTCTAATTGCACAATGTACAATAAATAAATATGATTTACAAATCTCCGAAAACCTCGTAAAGAGATCCGGCGAGAATCTGGATTCTTTTCAACAAACTAAGTTTAGAATGCCATTCTGTATTAACTAGTTGGGAGGCGGTAGCTTCATCATGCAGCTTGAAAGAAAAAGCTCCCCACTTTTCATAAAAAAATATAAAAAAATAAAAAAATAAATCCCCACTCAGAAAAGAAAGTTATGTAATTTCATGTTCTAGAGAGAGGATTCTCGTCGGATTCTCTTTGTAAAGATTTCAAAGATCTTTAAATCACATTCGTTCATCGTATATCATGCGGCTAGTTTTTGTCAGGGACTATTTATATTCAATTTTAAATAAAAACATTTACAATGATTTCTGATCTCACGATATACGATTAACAGATGTGATTGGAGGAACTAGCGAAAATCCTTCTGGATGATTCCAACTAATACACCTATATCTCTCTCTCTTTCCAATTAGGAATACAAATCCTCTTCGGATCTCATTGTCCAGAGCTCAAGGAACAAGTAATTCGAATTGTTCAAATTAAATTTGACGGTTCTCATTAACTCATTTCGATGATCCATCTCGCACAAAGTAAGAGTCCAAATCTTTTTTTTTTTTCCTCTTTTGAGCTATCCAAATTCTGAAAAAAGTTCGAAGTTCTAGACTATAAGGTTCGAAGAGGATCCAAATCCTCCAACTAGTATCTGTGATGACCAAATACACACACACACACACATATACATACGTACATAAATATATATGAGCGTTCTGGGCTTCCAGGGAATAAAAACAAGAAAGCAATCTCTCTTTCATGGGCAAGGAAATACAAGTTTTGGGAGGGACGTGACATCAGATATGACATGGCAATCACTTACATGCAGAAGAAAGTGAGTCGCCTTATCCATTTGGTCCAGCTTGTTATAGCCACTCATTCTTCCAACAATCCTCCTTCGCCAAGGCATCCAGCCTCATTTTATCAACTGGTTTTTCTTTTCCTCATCTCTTCAAACTTGAAAAAGCTCCACTTTATGCTTATGAAAGCAAAGTTGAAAAGGAAGCTGCAAAGAAAAAATTCGAAAGAAAAAAAGAAACAACTCATGTTTTTGCTACAGCCTTCTTACAACATAATAACACGTTACGAGTCTACAACCACGAATAATAAAATAAGTCTTCGTGCCAAATTTTGTTTAGGTATGGTTCATGGTGGGTTGATATGTTTATATAACACGTTAGTCGAAGATTCGAGTCGGTGTTCATTTGCAAAACATGATAACGACGTTTTATTTTTGTGAAATATGTTTTTTATTTATTGTTTAGTCTTAACTTAATTGGATTCTTGTGTATGTTTGTTGGTGAAAGGTTGGACATTTGTTACATGATGTTATATTTTGATATTATTCTATATATTTTATTTGTTTGGTGTTTGATTGATAGAAGGAATGAAGAAAAACGAGTAAACATGTGAAACACAACACAACCAACAAGATCTGCCAAAGAGATTGGGTTTGATGTGGATCGGAGAGAAATAGACTGTCAGAAGACCGGATACATTGAGAATATGCTGATTTGGCGTTTGAGTTCCGATTTAGGTCCGTGATACTTTTTCAGAAAGGGAACGATGTTATGAGTCAAACCCACTGCTTTGCTATGATATACGATGATTTTGGTCATTTGAAATCATTTTAACCTCCAAATAGTGTTTACAGTTTCGTAATAAAATTGGACCTTTTGGTTTCCCGTCCAATTAATGTTTAACTAATGACATTTTAATACTTAGAGTCCTTTAAGTTGTTTCATGTGGTTGTAATCTTTATTTAAATCATCTAGATGTATCAATAATTGGGAACCGGATCTCCTTCGGACCCAAAGGAAATAAGTCTACTCATCAAATGATCCGGGCTATTAAAATTTAATCCAACAGCTACAAACAGGAAGATCCTCTAAAGTTATAACAATTGTAAATGTTATATCAAATTTCAAAGTGCTGAATCATTTGATCCTTGGGCTCAGTTCCTTTGGATTCGGAGGAGATCCAGTTCCCAATAATTGTATTCATTCAATTATTAATCAATTCAATCCTTTCAATTTTTCTCAATTTTCTGATGGATTTTAGACTTATTCTTCAAGGAATTACGCTGGTAAGCCTTTTAATTACTTTGTGCTGCGTCAAAATTTATATACTTTGGAACGTGAAGTTCAGGCTTTAAAATTTTAATTTAATATAATCTTACATGACATGAACATTATCATTAGAACACGATACGCTATGAGATGTCTAGTTCAATAACCCCACAAAACCAACACACAACTACCATAAAGAAACTAGTATTACGAGTGGTCTCCTTGTTGCATAGAACAAGACAAAGGCCAATAAATTTAGGATGCCAACCATGTTACTCTTACATAAAATATGCATTTCTTTGAGTTTCATCTGGCCCTCCATACCCATTTATAACAACAAAAAAATGAAATATTTGAACCTCCATTATTGAATCGAAAATGGGCAACAAGAACAGTTAGCATCCTTGACTGCATGGGTGCAATTTGATGCCTAAAAATAAAAGCAAAGAGAGAATGCTCATTTAGTAATCATGTGCTCTTTAATTTGCTTCACTCATTTTTCCTCCAATTATGCCAGGAAAAAGCATGTTTGTCTGTAGACGTCGCCATGTGTTTTCACTTTATATGTTACTTTCTCACATAACGTTGCATAATTAGAATCTTTGTGTAATTCCGTCTCTTCTGATGGGAACTGGGGATTTGATAAATTGCTTGAGCTCCACAACCGTAAGCATGTAACGTCACATTCACCACAGAATATTACTATACAGCATGCGTTCTTTTAATGCCAGCAGTGGGTTTTGGATCTTAGACATCAGCTTTTAGCAGCCCCTTTTTTCTTCTTTTCCCTCTCCACCCACATAAAGAAATAACCGAACTGTCCATTTTTAAGTACAAAAGAGAACCCCAGAAAGCTCCAGCGGCCATCTATCTTCTTTCCAACTTCTAATGGTTCTGTACATGAAAAGCAAAGTCCCTCCTACATTTTGGTGTTGCTACTGCTGCTTGTTTGAACAGGTACACTTGGCACGATGTTCAGAGAGCGTCTGGAAAAATTTAACCGAAAAGAAAGGACAAAGCAGTAAGTGAATAGGTTACAAATACAAGTCAGAAGTGTTTGAGCTACACATTTGTAAATTTTCGTGATTCGATTTGATTTTTTATAAAACATACCTGGACTTGAGTTTGAAGGTCTTTAATGTACTCAACTGCCAAATCCAACATGTCTGAAGTGTTTGTTTGCTGCAAAGTAAAGACATTAGATGTTTTGAGTCTAGTGCACACGCTAACTGGTTCATAGATCGAATGGCATGTGAAGATTCTACCTTGTCCATGTTCGGTACAAGCTCTTGTAGTTTCCTCATTCGTTCGCTAATTCGGGTTCTTCTCACCTGACCGGAACAAAAATAAACATTTTGAGCATTTTAATTTAACATACATGTTTCAATGGTGCTTTTCGTTTAAAAGCGTTTAAAGCAATAAGAAGAGTGTACAATGTGTGACATTAAGACACTAAAACAGTACCCTCTCAGCAATGCTTCTTGGGTGTGTTGCACAGCCCCGCTTTGCTCGAATCTTACAAGGAACAGAATCTTGGAGCTGTAAAAACTTTTCAATGGCAGCCATCTCAGTGGCTGTTTTTGGCAAGCTCAAGTGATGAGCTAGAAGTGTAGGAGGGCGACTTCCGGCCTCTACATCCTGCATGACAGCAACGAAAACTATATCAGGCACCAGATAATACACAACCAAGCACATTACATTCAACACAAATTTGGTACCTGAGTTTCGGATGGACTTAAACCAGTGTATGCTTTCACATCGTCATCCCTAAAGCCTGTTGAACCGCTGATATCATCACCAAGAATCGCAGAGTCATCCCATGAATCCATTGGGAAACCAGTCACATAATTGTTACCGCGGCCATCCCCAAAAGCTCCAGCATCTTGACCATTCGATCGCATTCTTTTGTTCCCAATTTCAGAAATCGGACTAATTAGCCCCGATGTAGATGGTGGAACTGAAGAGAAATTTTTCAACCTGCTTGCAGGAGAAAAAGATGCTTCTTCATTAGCGCTATCACGTGCTCCGAAGTTTCCCATTCCTCTCAATGCAGCACAGCCTGCCACTGCCAAATGCTAGGTATCATTCACAAATCGATTCCATCATTTTTATTTCGAATCTAAACTAAGACTAGAATCAAACAAACCCAAGAACCAGAAATATTGCTTCTTTCATAAAATGTTCGGTAAAGATTTCGTAAGCAACAGTTATCACTAAGCCACTTTATTTCCAACTGATTTATCAGAATGATATCCAAAGTTCATTAATTTTCTGTATAAAATCAATCAATTCAAATAACAGAAAGCAAATACAATTCTGCATACAGTGAGAAAATTAAGCATCCAAAAACCGAAAGAAACAAAAATATGCCTCGCAATAATCAAAATTTACTTGATTTAGCACCTTTTTCCTTTGAAATTCATCTATGCTGAAAAAAAAAAAAAAAGAACATACCATCAATGTTCACATTGGAGAACCATCCAGCAGGTGAGCTACTATGCCGAATGAGATTGGAATTCGCGACACCACCACCGGTTTTCATAGGAGGCAAATGACTTCCCCTCATTGAATAAGCTCCTTCATTAGCTGATGTCAAGTTCTGATTAGGTAAAGGCGGTTTTGCCGCTGGACTTTGGTAAAATCCTTGAGCAACAGATGAATAGTTGTTCAAATTGCTCTGCTGCTGCTGCTGCTGTTGCTGCTGCTGATGCTGTTGAATCACCTCCATTTCATCATCCACCTTAGGCACCAAAAATTGTGGTTGCTGATTATTAACCTGTGTTGCTACTTTGTGTTGTGATGCAATTTGTTCTGTTCCTTCACCACCGCCACCTCCTCCTCCTCCATTACCACCACCTTCACTAGCCAGAAACCGGGACAAAATCCTCTCGGTTTCAGGGCTAGAAGGCCGATTGAAAAACGGCTCATAAAGCTCTGAGTCCAAAATGTTTGTGAAATATGAGCTGGGAGCTGACCGGTACCGCATCAAGCCAGAGTTCATATGCTGCTGGGGTTTGTGATGCTGCTGAAGATCCGATTCCATTGCTTCCTTAATTCTTCAAATTCTCATCCAAAAATAGAAACTTCAACAAAGTAATAAACTTCTCCTTTTCGATTTTTCTGATCAAAATCAGATCAAATCATAAGTAAAACCTCTGGCTCTTTCCCCTGCAAAAATTCTCAGAAAACAAAACAAAAGAACCCAACTTTTAGATACAACCCAAGAATTTAAAGCTACCCAAAAGCCAAATCCATGTAAGTTTACTTGAGTGAAAAGATAAATTGATTCTGCTATAAAAGTAAGATTCTGAAACCAAGAAAAAATGGGGAGAAGAGACACTAAAAAGTACCATTTTTCATTGTTCACTCAAAAAAATTTCTCACAAATCCCAACAACCACCTAAAATCTACCAACAACCCAATTTTCTATTCCTAAAATCTCAATCACCCAAGTAAAGAAGATAACATAAGAAATCCAAGCAACCCACTGAAATCAAGCACAGTATCAGATGATAGAAGACAAAAGCAAGAACTTAAGCATAACAATATAAAAAACAAACCTTTACACTCACACACTCTCTCTCTAGAACTTTGTAGAAAATTTTTCTCTCTCTAGAGATTTGCTTCTTCTTTCTCTACAGGTGCTAGTGCTGGTGCTGGTGTCGGGCATGGAATACTATTGAGAGTGGTGGTGGAGTTCTCGTTGAAGCCAGTGAGTTAGGAGACATAAATAAAAGGGAAACCCACAATTATAAAAGTAATAATAAAACCATTTGTTTCCTCTTCTATTAGTTAAGCCAACCAGAAGCAACGGAGGTCTGAAATCTAGTCCCTCAGATTTCGTATGTTTACATTTTTTACATGACCATATTGCCCTCGAAGACTGGTCATTATCACAGAAGAACCATTGAATTTTAAGAGAGAAATGGCTGCATTCAGATTGAATGGTGGGGAGCAGAGGCATAATTAATAAAGCAAGAGAAAAATTGGCTGGATTGTGTACACGTTAGCCAAACACAGAAATGGGGCTGGGGTTTGTGTGACAAATAAAGAACATAATCCAATCCCATTTGCAGCTGAAAAGCAAGGTTTTTGGTGCGGTGGATGACCACTAGGTCATGGACTATATGCTGCCCTTCGTGATTGTTTGGACCACTAGTATTGTGGGTGCTGTTTTAGACAGAGACAACGTAGTTGTACACACAGGGAACTTAGGGATTTATTGCTAACGTACCGACATTATATGGTATACAGATGTACAGATGCGTGTGATCAACGTATTCTACGTGTATAAAAAGTTAGGTATGAGGAGAAAAGTGTGAGTGAACTAAAAAACTGCTGGTATACCTTTCTGTAGAGGAACTGGTGAATTCACATTAGGGCCGGTTTTGATTCACCTTTTTCTAGTTTTGCTTATTTTCTAGAGAGTTTTAACGAAAAGCCTATGGTACTGTTCATTTTAACGAAAAATCATATTTTTACACTAAAAAGTCAATCCTGGTACTATTCACTTTACCCTTTATTTTGTTCTTATCATTAAAACTCAAAGTTTTCAAACCCTTTTTATTAGTTTTCCTTATTTTTTACGTATAAAGCAGGCCGAGTTCTTTAAGTTTTCGTACTTCCCATTACCATTTCTCTGTAAAATGTGATCACTATGCTCCTCCCATGTAATAAATGTATTTCAAGTTTTGGGATTGATCTGCAATCATTTGATGCAGTTTCAATGCACTTATTCCCAGTTTCAGTTTGGTGAAAGTAAGCAGCCTAATCAGGTAGGCTTTTGGTTTCAGTACTTCACGTTGCCAAAGTGTGCAACTGAATCAATCCATTTACTGGTACAAATAAAATTAGAAAATGTTTCTTTGATGTTCTCCTTAACATGATTGCCGTGTGGACAAGATGCTCTATCAAAATGCCTCAAAGAAAAATTCCTAGATCTCTCATTGAAGAGATGAAAAACTTTATTATCACCTTGTGTACAATGATGAGCCTATCTTTCTTATCATGCACCTGATGATTTTGTAGAAGAATAGTATATAATTTCTTACTCACAATTTATCGGCAAGATTTTTTTTTTTTTTTCCTTCTAAGTTTACTTAGATGATTGTAGCACCAATTGTGTTTAATATTGTGAGAATGGAAAACGAAAAAAAAGGAGTTGTGGTGGGTATATATCATGTGTCATATATGTGGTTTTGCTTTTACTCTCATGGTGGTCAACACTGGTCTTGAGATTAATGGAAGCACCTTTGAACTATCGTAGCAGATGAAGGGCTGGTTTGGTATTGCTGTGCTTTAAAAAAAAACTGCTTCTGCTGTGCTGTGAGAATAAGCAGCTGTGAAATAAAGAGCAGAGTGTTTGGTAAACTTTTTTGTAAAAGTGTTTTTGTAAAAAAAAAAAAAAAAGTAGTATTATAGTGTTTGGTAAACTTTTATGTAAAACAGATGTGAAAAAAAGCCGGTTTTTCAAAGCTGGGTTTTGCAGCTTCTTGTTTTTGGCTTTTTTTTCACCCAAAACTGTGAAAAAAAACTGAAGCTGAATGTTTACCAAACACAAAAACAGCTCCTAGCTTTTTTTTATACCAGTTTTTTTCAGAATCACCTCAATACCAAACCAGGTCGAAGCAACTCATCAAATGGCTTTGGCTTTTTTCTTTGTTAAATCTGTTGTTAATTTTAGATTTTAATTTTGATCATTGAATTGAGTACATTAGTGCGAAAAAAATATATAGAGAAGAACGGTAGATTTTGATTTTGGTCATTCATCATGATGTACCTTAGCCAAAGCATCGAAATTAAAATTAAATCAGTCAACCATAGTTTAATACAGAAAATTCATCCCATCGATTATAAAGTCCTAAGTTATTTGTGGATGTTAATGGAAGGCAAGTTACCTCCTTCACTTTTACGGAAACCCAAAAAGTAATTAACAATCCTCCATCACTTTTGGAGAGACTAAATAAATAATGATCTTCTATTAGATTTACAAATCTGGAGGACATTATTTTTTTGCTTAATAATTCGTGACGTGCCACAGAATACAGGTTGTGGGAGCTCAAGTTTAATGTTTTCAAAACAAGGGATTACTTTCTTTAATTATTGGTGCTTAAAGAAATGGTCTCTTTTTGCAATTTAGTGGGGACCAATGCTTCCCCGAGGAGTCATATACATATAGAAAGATGCATATATCGGCACATGGATTTTAATAAGTAGAGGCAGCCCTCATACTAACAAACAAAATCATCACGTTAAATCAAAGATTAATATGAATTATTGAGTTTGAATTTGTCTTATTAAAGTTGTTGATTAGGATTTAAGAGAGATTAACCATTGATTAATATGCATTATTGTCTGCCCCTTATCTATTTTTTTCTGTTGGTGTGCTAGCGTTTCATCTCGACAATTTGTCTGATCAAATTTGTAATGCACCAAATGGTCAAAAGTTAATGGTCAATATTATCTAATGCGCTAGCTATTTTTGGACTTTTGGGTTCACTAGTTCATTAATATATAGGCATTCAAAAGTGGATTTTGCCAACTTTGTGGTTAACGATGTCACAATAAGCTAATTAAACTAGTTAAAACGTGTTTAGAGCTTATTGCTTAGAAGGAAAGTATAAGGTTAATTAATAATTAATTGAGATCTTACGACGAAACGGCCATTCGATTTTCAAGTCTTACACTAATCCACTTAGTCTACAGTCTAGTAAAATTTCTCTTCATTTGTAAATAAAATGTTTTAGGTTCGATTCACGCTAAATGCGAATTTAAATCACATTATTATGACTTACCTATTGTGAGGCTTATGCCACTCCTTCACTTCTTAGTGTACATAACATCGTTATTTTCTCAAAAAAAAAAAAAAAAAAAAAAAGGTCTTATACTAATCTTTGGTATTTAATATTGTTTTTGTTATCAAAGGTGCTTTTGCACGTGTAATCACATTAGATTGACACTTAATTTGACCGTAAAAAGGTTAATGCCAGCTTATCGGGGATTAATTTAGTTTGTAGTTTAAAACCTATGAGAATCTCCACCTGTTACTCTAGCCTTAATTAACTAAGCTTCAGATCTTGATGAGATTAATCAAATCACAAAGTGACAAAGATGGTTGAGTGGAGAGTACGGAGCTATGCATTAGATTATTAGATAATGTTGTATAATTCAATGGAGAATTAGACAAAATATTTTGTGAACATTTCTAGTTATTGTATACGTGTCATAACATAGAATGGCATGTGATCAATGGATGACCCACCACTTGAATACATAATAATTGCATCTTATTTACAAATTGACATTCTCTTTGAATTTTTATGTCTGAAATCGACGGATCTAGAGATCTATACTATTTATTTTAAATCTTACTATCTCTATTAGCGTATTTTATTAGCTTACCTCACATAATCAAGTGTCTGAATCTCTCTCTTGAATGCCCTAAATCTGTGTGTTCGTTGTAGAATCTCGATTCCTTATGTACCTTAACTTCTTAGGATTTGGTCACTAATAAGTCTCATATCCACTTCTTTGGTAAAGCAATCGAGTTTGACATATATATATTGCAGCAAAAATTATAACTACCACATAAAACCAACTAATTTTTGTTGTCTTCGCAAGCTATATATCGAAGAAACTTAGAACGGCTAGCTTCCTAGTCCTAGGGTACTCCAAAACTTATTACATCAGCGAGAAAATGATCTGATAAATCTAGCTATTATGAGTTTTGAATTTTCTCGGGATCAATATATTTTGAAAGATATATATATATATATATATATATATATATATATGTAAATGGAGTGTTCAAATTTAATAAATTTTTCATTCTATTTTGTGACATGTTTACTCATTCAAGAAAAAAAATTCAAATTTCTTATGTTTTATGCGTTTGTTAACACATGGAGAGAAAAAAATATGAGTCTCATATTGCAATCCGTAACATGAACAACAATGATTTTGCTTTTTCCTTTCAAAATTAGTTAGCATGCGATTATTATATTCTTAAATGTTACTAGAGGTAGAGTTTAAGTTTATAATTTCGTTTAAATGAAAAAAGAAAAACCATATAAGCCTTAGTAGAATTAATGATAATTCTTAATCATAGTCCCCACACGTTTTTTTTTCAACGCCGGTTCATTTATAAAATGAAGACCTCATGGTGTCCGCACATTTGTCAAAGGTAAGCAATTTTATAAAGTGAAAGGCCATCTGTACCCCACATTTAAAGAAGACATTTATAAATTGGAAGCTGACTTGATGGTTGATGTATATGAATTTATCCCTTTTTTTATTTATATATTATATTTTCTCTTTTTTTGAATTTGGCCATCTTTTGATTTCGATGGAAATGAATGTGAGCTTGATTATCATGACTCATGCATCACATTTGAGATGAAACTCACTGCAGTAAGAAAAAATATTGCAGTATATAATACAAGGAGATCCTGAATGTTCTTGTTCATGATTAACCTAATGATTTTGACTTAGTTCTATATAAAATAATACACACACACACACACATATGTATCATGTATGTATATGCAATGATTGAGAAGTTTATAAAGTTTAAAGCTAAAAATAGACTGGCAATATTTTAGTTATACTCTTGCTGAAATTGATACACACACGCACACACACACACAGGTATATGCAGTGATTGAGAAGTTTATAAAGTTCAAAGCTAAAAATAGACTGGCAATATTTAGTCATACTCTGCTGAAAACAACATGATTCATGACTTCCATGATTT